CTGAGCAAAGAATTTGGGATTTGTGCTAAAAATCGGGGATAAAACTCCTCGGAGCAGCAAAGCAACGCCCCTCCCTCAGAGGGGGAGGATTTGGGAATGGCCCCCAGCATCCAGCACTTGCTGCTTTCCCGGGAAAATCAGAGATTTCCAGCCTTCCATCACCTCCCTGACCCCAGCATCCCCACCCCGGGGGGATTTTCCGTGAATGGGGCAGCAAATTCCAACCCGGATCTTATGGAGCCTGAATGACATCACCCCCCCCAGGCACTGCACGGCACCTTTGTCTCCCAAAATGCTCGGAAAATAAGGAATTCTCTCTTTGGGACACAGACAGATCCGTGGCACCCATTCCCAACATCCCCTAAAACAGGAGCCCATCCTGTCTCCTCCACCCCAAAATTCACACGGAGGCAAAAATATGAAATTTCAGTGTCACCACTCCTAATGCAACATCAAATACTGCCAAAATTCACCAGCTCAAAGCACCAAATATCCCATTCTGAGTCCAGACTCATCCCAAATTTACCAAGAAAGCAATTCCTAATCATGAGGTGACCCTAAAATCCCATTCCAAAGGGAAGCAGCTGCAACCTGCAACCCAAAAACCATAAAACAGAATGTTGCAAGGCTGGCCCTGGCTGAGCTCAGAGTCACTCCTTTGATAGAAATAAACAGAAATAAATAGAAATAAACAGAAATAAATAGAAATAAACAGAAATAGATAGAAATTCTCCACGGATTTATTTCTTACCTAATTATAGCTGAAGTTTAATGTCCTGGGATTTTGCCCAGCAGGAGCAGGGACATCTTGGGAATTGCTCTCAATTCCACAGGAGAGAAAAGATCCCTTTCATGCTCCTTTACACCAGAAATTTGCCATAAAATTCCAAACTGGGAATGGGTTGTGCAGGCAAACACCAAACACCAGACTCTGGAGTTTTTTCCTGTTGGATTTCCACGCTGCAAAAAAGCTGGGAATTATAATTATTTCCTGCTACCTGGGAACGACACACTTTGAATTTCCAGCTGGAAAACTTCTGCTGCTGCATTTCAAACAGGAAGGGAATAATGGAATTACAGAGATGCTGGGGAAGCTGTAAAATCTTGGAGCAATCCAGAGGGAATCCAGCTCCTTCCTGATCCAGCCTGATGCCTCTTCCTCACATCAATATTTTGGGAGAAAATTTTGACTCCTGGCTCATACTCTCCTGAATTTCAGGTCCAGTTCCATGTCATTCCTGAGGATTGTAGCCTCTGGGGTGGATCCCAAAAAGCTGAAGCTCACAGGAGAGGAGCAATTGCAGGGATGGAGCATTTTTAGGGAAGTTCACTTCCAAAAAATGGGAAAAGTCAGGGGAAAAAAAAAAGTAAAAAAATATTCCCTGTTCTACTAACAGTCCATCAACCAGAGCCACACTTAGACGTCCTCAAGACTTTTCCTCAAGGAAAAATTCTAAAATTCTAGAAGGAAAAATACCCATTAAAAACAGGTGTTTATAAATCCTCTCTTCCCTTCTAAATATCCAAACAAATCCTATTTAAAATTCCATCAGCAGATCTCAGAACAGGCTGCCCCAAGGAGCTCCAGCTGCCCCATTCCTGGAAATGTCCCAGCTCAGGATCCCAAATTCCCCATTCAGGCTCCCAAACCCAAACACAGAAAGTGAATTTTCCTTACATAATCCAACTTTCCAGACACATTAAAGCTGGAAAAACCTGTGGATACGCTCAGGCAGTGAGAGTCAAGTTTCTCCCTTTCCTCTCTCCATCCCACAGCCCGTGGGACCATCATCAGTCCCCTTAATAAAGTGAGGAGCATTCTGAGGGAAATGCAGGTGGAAAACTCAGCCTTTCCCTCCCCTCAGCATCTCCCAGGTGGATTGGAACAAGCTCCAGGATCTAAATGTGGGTGTTTAACCACAGCACATTTGCCAGGAGCTTGTGCTGAGGGAACCAACCTTATGGATGGCTTTCCTTAGGGAAAGGCAGGAAATAGGATCCAAATTCCCAGAAAAAAAACATCCAGTCCCCAAGTGACACCAACAGGGAGATTCTCCAGCTCCAATGAACAGCAGAAAAAAAAAATCCTTGGGAACAGCCACAACCCGAAACCTGGAGTTCCAGACTGTCTGAATCCGTAACAAAATCAACGGAATGTTCCATACTCTGATCCTAAATCCCAACCCACCAAGCCCCACCAGGATCACTGGGATGGCTGGAAAAGCATCTTCCCCCAAAAGGGAGCTGAATTCCCATTGGGGAGGTCTCCAGGAGCAGATGGATAAATGTAGTTTCCATTATGACAGAAGGGCACGAGGAAAATAAATCCTTGGGAGTCTCCACTCTGTCCTGTCACAAAGTGTCACTGGTCCAAAAGGTTCCTGCACCCTCAGGATGGGGACGATCTTGGAATCTTCTTCCAGGAAACAACAGCATCAAGAGATGGAAGTGTCTGGTGCTCACAGCAGGACACAAACATCCATCCATGTCCACCAGGAACAGCTTGTCCAGAGCAGCTGTGGCTGCCCCTGGATCCCTGGAAGTTTCCAAGGCCTCGTTGGACAGGGCTTGGAGCACCCTGGGATCATGGAAGGTGTCCCTGCCCATGGCAGGGGTGGCCCTGGATGAGCTTTGAGGCCCCTTCCAATCCAAACCAGTCTGGGATTCTAAGCAGCTCCATGGAGAAGCTCCATGTGGGACGTGGTGGCAGCTCCGAGCTCCGGGAATTGGGGTGGCCCAAATTTAAGCATCCAAAGAGTCAAGGAGAGCTGGTTCTGCTGGATACTGAAGTTCCCAGGAATCCAAGCTCTGGCTGACAACTGGACATGGAGAGAGACCCACGAGGAGCCAGAGCTCCTTTCCTACAGGAAAATTCCAGTCAAAGCCATCGGCACGGACGTGTCAATGTTCAGCTCCTGCCTCAGCATCCACTTTCTCCAGCCAGCCTGGAGCTCCAGCTCAGCAGCATCCCTGGAATTGTCCAAGGCCAAGTTGGATGGGGCTTGGAGCAGCATGGGATAGTGGAAGGTGTCTCTGCCCACAGCAGGAGTGGAATGAGATGATCCTTAGGGCCCCCTCCCACCCAAACCATGCAGTGAATAATACCCAGGAAAAGTAAGGCTGAGCCCGAGGATTCACCAAGCTCTGATCCCCTCTCCAAGCAGCACAATCCCAACATTCTGAGCTCCAAAAGCAACTCATCCCAAAAAAACCAACCCTGTACATTCCTCCCCGTGGCAGGTACAGAATGGGGGAAGCCACAAACATCCCAGAGCCAGCATGGTTTGGTTTGAATTCCACTCTCCCCAAACACTCAACAGATCCTCAGATATTCCTAACAACCTTCAGCCAATTATCCCAAACAATCCTTTTCTCCAGGTAAAAGTTCTGTGCTGGGAAAAGCACATCCAAATGAAGGCACACCACTAAGGAACGCGACTCGGACACGGAGGGAACGCCGGGATTCGGGGTGGGCATGGGGAAACAACAACCCTAAAAACACCAGACAGACACCTCCCAAAAACTTTCTGAGTCCCAACACGGAACATCCACCCCAAAGAAACTCCAAAATCAGACTAATTAATCCATAATTCCATTAAAAAGCCGTTAGAGGAGCTGCTCCAGCTCCTTTCAACAGCCCAGGCTGGCGTCACTTTTAGACATTTTTAGACAACAAACAGCGACGTGAGACAACCTGGACACTTTTGAACACCAAATTCCAAGTTCCAGACCAATCCCAGGCACGAGGGCCCCTCCATATGCTCCAAAGTAAAAGACCTGAATTAACCTAAAAGTTTTGGGATGAACAAGAGAGTCCTTTGGACCCAGGGGGTCTCCAGGAAGGGATCATCCCACCAGGGTTAAGCTGAAGTAAACCAGGATTTACTCCCATCCTGGGAGCCACGTCTGGCAAAACACAACCTGGATTCCAAACGAAATCCTCCATTCCTCACTAATTTTAGAAGGCTCAGCCACCGGCACCGTTTCAGCTGCAACAAGGGGAAGCTGTTCCTCAGCTGCTCCAGGTGGGCACTGGCAGAACTCACTCAAAAAAGGTTTGCTCTGTTGTCCCTGCTCAAAAAAACCACCATTTTCAGCTTTGCCTCCAATCCGGCCATCACTCGGGGGGGGTGCTCCATGTCAGATGTCTGCTCCTTTCACCCCAGAGCTGGCAAAGTTTATGGAGCCCCTGAATCCTTAACCAAGGAAGTCTAAAAATGTAAAAATAGCGTTGAGAACCAGCGGGAAACTGGTCGGGGGGAGAAACCCAGCAGGGACAGAGTGACTTCTCAGGAGAGGCGATAAAGCCGGAGGCCCTGGCGGGATCAAGAGGGTGGGTTGGTGAAATTCCCCATCCAGAGGAGAACCGGAGTTCCCGGCCATTAGGCTGCTCCCCCTTCCCTGGCTCCTTCCTCCTGGCAGAAAATGGGGTCAGGGCAGGGGCCGCCCGGGGGGAGAGAATTCCAAGGGTAAAAGCAAGACGAGGCTCGGTAACTAGGAAAAACAGCATTAATAACAATAATAATAATAAAGAAGGTACTGAAAAATGGCCCCGCGGGGAGGCCGGGACACGTCCACACGCTCCGCCCGGCTCCCCCCGCTCACCCCCGGGCAGGGACGGGACAGGGAAAGGGACACGGGCAGGGGCAGGGGGGACACGGCCCCCGAGCCCACCCGCCCCCCCCCCCGCGGCCCCCCCCCCCCCCCCCGGCGCGGCCGCTCCCGCCGCTCCCGCCGCCCGCTCTCCGCCCTCCCCGAGCTCCCCGCCCGCCCTCCCCGCGCCCGCCCCGGCCGCGGCCATCACGCAAGGCCGGGGATGCGCGGCCTACCCCGGACCCGGCGGGAGGACGGAGGGAAGGGGAAGGGCGAAGGGACAGGGAAAGGGAAGGAGCAAAGGAAAGGGAATGGGAAGGGGAACGGGAAGGGGAAAGGGCAGCGGCCCGGCTGCCGGCGGTCGCGCGGTGCCGGCGGGCCCGAGGCCGCGGAGGGCCCGCGCTTACTCCGGCGTGGGGTGCTCCGGGTCGTAGAAATCCCCCATGGTGGGTGGGCGGGCGCGGGGCTCCGCAAGTGCCCCCTGGCCGGGGAGGCCCCGCTCGCCCCGTCGGGGCTCCTCACATGGTCCGGCGGGGCCCCCCCGCCACCCGCGCCCAGCCCGGCCCGGCCCCGCCGCGATCCGCCCCGGCCGCCGGCTCCTCCTCCCGCGGCACCGCGCAGCACCGGGAGCCCTCCGGGAGCGGCCGCCGAGCGCCGGGACACGCCGGCATGGGGCCCGGGATGTCGCCGCGATCGGCCGCGGCCCCGCCGGGAATCTGCTGGGCACACGGTGGGATCACCCCCGAGATCGGCGAGGCCACAGCGGGCACCGGGAGCACGCCACAATCAGCCGGGATCCCGCCGGGATCAGCCGCAGCACCACCGGGACTCCCTTGGGATCATATTGGGATCGTTGCAGGGATCGCCGGGAATCAGCCTGGGTGTCACTGGGATCCCACCGAGATCCAGGAAGGGGTCAGCGGGATCAGCCGCAGGACTGCCGGGATCCCCTCCAGGTCAGCCACTGCACCACCAGGATCTCCTCGGGATCACCGGGATCAGCCACAGGATCACTAAAATCTGCCCAGGATCATGCCAGGCTCACCCCTGGGATCACCAGGGCCACGCCAGTTCAGCCACATTATTCCCAGGATCTCAGTGGGATTCCCCTGGGGCCACAACAGGACCGGCTGCAGGATCTTGGGATCACCCCTGGGATCCTCAGGATCTCACCTGGAGCCGATGGGACATCGCCAGGGCCACACCAGATGAGCTGTAGGACACCTGGATCACTCACGGGACAGGCAGGATCTTACCAGGATCTTTCAGCATCACATTGGGATCACCCCCAGGATCACAGAGATCTCCCCAAGAGCACACCAGGATCACATCCTGAGGACACCAGCACCCCTTGGCACCAGATCCCTGGGGCTGTTCCAGGCCTCATATGCCCTAAAAATCACTAAAACTCCTCTTTTTCCTTCCACAGGTCATTTCCCATCTTCCCAAACCCTGGGAGAGCTCCTGCATGGAATGGTATCAGAGTACTTCAGGACACCCAGCTGCTTCTGGGATGCCTGTTCACATGGAATCCTCCAAAACACATTTACAGCTTCCAATACTGAGATTTCTGGGATTTTCCCAGATTTGGGAGCATGGTGTGAGCAGGAGGGACCCACGGGGATGAGGTGGGAAGCAGAGGAGGGGTGGATTTAGGGAAGGACAAAGGAAGGTTTAGTTTCAGTCGTGTGGAAGTGTTTTCTTGGGAAATCCAGCCTGGCCTGAATTCCCAGCAGCTTTTTGAACCTCTGGAATTGGATCATTACAAAGAAAAGGTGATTTCTGGGATGTTCTCCAGTGCCCTTCCAGGGGGCAGGTGCTGTTATGGGGACAAAAGGAAGCTCCAAAAAATTCAAGTAAACTGAGCACCATGGATTCATTCACTTCCCCACTTTTCCATGTAAATGGGGATGTGGAAAATCTGGGATGCCTGAATTAGGGATGCTCCCTCCATGGCTGGTGCTGGTTTTGGCAGTGGGATGTTCCTGACAGGTGTGGGGTGTTGACTTTGGGGCTTCCAGCATTCTCCTTCCAGCTTCCCAAATCATTTTGAGGGAGCTGGAGGGACTCATCCTGCAGAAGAGAAGGCTCAGGGGGCACCTTCTGGCTCCCTGCAATTCCTTGGAAGAAGGTTTGAGCCAGGAGGTGTGAGGCTCTGCTCCCAGGCGACAGGATAAGAGGGAACAGCCTCAAGGGGAGGTTCAGGTGGGATATTGGGAAAATTCCTCCTGGAAAGGGCTCTCCACCCTGGCACAGGGTGCCCAGGGCAGTGGTGGAGTCCCCATCCCTGGAGGGATTTAAAAGCCCTGTGGATGTGGCACCTGGGGACATGGTCAGGGTTGGTCTTGGCAGTGCTGAGGAATGGTTGGACTTGATCTTGGAGGGCTTTTCCAACCAAAGGCATTCCGTGATTCCCCAGAAATGAATCTTTGTTTCCTTCCCTTCTCCAGGCAGATCCAACAGGCCAAGCCATGACTTGTTGCTCCAATGGCAACAGGCCCAGGAGAGCTGCAGCTCCAGCACCAAGAAAGAGGGAATCAGGAGCAGCCTGGGTTATCCACAGCAACCTCTGTGCCGTGACCCTGCCTTTTCCAGAGGCTCAGGAAAACAAGTGGTGCTGTTGGAACTGCCTGGCTCGTGTCCTGTCCAAACAGCGGGATCGATTCCCAGTAACTCCCTGCCTGCCCAAAGGTTGGGAGGTTCACTTTCCTGCTGTTTATTTTTATTAATCGATCGTGGACTCGAGCACAAGGCACTTCCTGAGGTGGCATTCCTTCGGGAATGCTGGGATCCAGGCTATGTGACTGGCAGGGAGGACAGGGCTTTCTTCTTCCCAGCAGCCGTGACCAGTTCGGGTTTCCCGCGCATTTTCCGGAGGGCTGCCATGGTCCTGGTGAAGGTTTGCTGGGAACACAAAGGGATCACTGAGCTCAGCTCGGCTCTCAGAGCACAGTTCTCACCTGTAAAAGTTTTTTGTTCCTGAAAAATAAAACCAAATGCCTTCCCAAACTTTCCAAGTGGTGCTGGAAAAAGCTGAGAAGATTCCCATCACACCAGCATTGCTCTGCTGATAGCAGATCCCAGCAGGCTCCAAGGAGGGGACGGGAATCCCTAGGAAATTCTCCAGAGCACTGAAAAGCTGCTTTTGAGATGTTTTCCTGGAATCTCAGAATTATTTCAGTTGGAAAAGACCTTAAGGATTATCCCAATCCATCCAATTCCACAGGCAGGGACACCTCCCACTATCCAAGGCTGCTCCAAGCCCCAGTGTCCAACCTGGCCTTGGACATTTCCAGGGATCCAGAGGCAGCCACAGCTTCTCTGGGAATTCCATCCCAGTCTCTCTCCACCTTCCCAGCCAGGAATTCCATCCTAATATCCCATCCATCCCTGCCCTCTAGCAGTGGGAAGCCATTCCCTGTGTCCTGTCCTTCCATCCATTGTCTCTCTCCAACTCTTTAGGGCCTGGAAGGGCTCTGAGGTCTCTCTGGAGCCTTCTCCAGGCTGAACATTCCCAGCTCTCTCTGGGTGAATTTGTTCTGGCCAGGTTGGACAGGGCTTGGAGCACCCTGGGATAGTGAAAGGTGTCCCTGCCCATGGCAGGGGCTGGCACTGGATAATCCTGAAGGTCTCTTCCATCCCAATCCATTCTGGGATTCTCCCTGGGCCCTGCTGGGGTTACCTTTTGATCTGTCTTCATCCTGGCCCTGTAGAAGGACACGGAGCCTGGGCAGTCTGGCAGCACCATCTCCTGCTTTCGCTCAAACTTGTCCTGCACGTCTTCATCCTGCCAGGGAAAAGCATTCCCCACTCCATGTGCAAAACACATACCTGGACACCTGGGACAACAACCCCATTTACTGCACCCAACACCAAAGCCAGGAAAACCGTGGAAGTGAGAGGTTCCCCTTTCCACACCTTAGAGGAGCAGCTTTGGGCAAAAACCTGCAAGGGTTGAGATTTTCCCACAGGAAAAATGAACATTGCCAGTTCTCCCAGCCTGGCTCCCGAGCAGAGGGGCTCCAGCCCTGGAGCAGCTCTGGGGCCTCCTCTGGATTTCTCCAGCAGCTCCAAGTCCTTGTGCTGTTGGATCCAGGGCTGGGGTACTGCTGCACCTCAGAGGGGCAGAATTCCTCTTTTCTGGTCACACTTTTTTAGATGCAAAAATTCTGGGAAATGGGAAGTAGTTGAACAGAAATGTGCTTTTCAGGATGAGAAAAGACCCCAGTCCCCACTTTGGTGGCTCCTACCACAGGACTAGTACTGACCAGTGCCACAAGAATTTGGCTGCAAATCTGGGATCCCACGGGCTGGGAATCAGGTTCCCAAACATCCCTGCACCCCCAGGCACTGTGCCCAGTTCTTGATATTCCAGAGACATCCAGGTGCCTCAGTCACTGTCCTGATTTAGCCTCTAAACAGTGAAGGGAATGTGACAGCATGATGTGGCTCCACATCTTCCCTTTGTGCCTCACTCCTTCTCCTCCTTCTCCTCCTTTTTCTCCTCCTCCTCCTTCCCTCACCGCCCTACACGTGGCTCTGGAGGAGAATCAGCAAAACTCCAGGATAACTCACCAGGCACGTGACTCTGTTTATGGGAATCATTCCAGGCCTGATGTTCCCACCAGGCTTCAGAGCTTCCCTCATGTGTTTAGGGATACAGAAGGATTCGTTGTACCAGATCTCAAACTCTGTGAAGCAAAGAGGGGCAATTAATGGCTGTAATTAATGACCCAAAAGACAGCATGGATTGGTTTTCCCTATGGATCTCAGTGCTCCTAAACCCTCAGACAGGAGCTCAGAACTCCAGGATTTGGAGTTTAAACGGTTGGAAAAGTGAATTCAAGGAGGCTGTTGGCTGTGCTGAGGTGGCCAGGAGGTGGTGGCCAGCTCTGGGGACAGTCCTCTGGCCATGAGAAGGCGCCACTCCTGCAGCCCCCAGAGTCCCTTTGGAATGGGCAGCACGGCTGGGGCTCGGATTTCAATCCCACGCACTCAAGCACAGCCATTTGCCATCCCATAATAGGCAGTGAGAACACACAGCAGGTGGGAATTATGTCCTTGATAATCCTGGGCATTTCCCAGGCACTCCACTCCTGATCTGGATGAGCCCTGGATGTTTGAACAAACAACAAACATCTGGAGCACCCAAAAATGCCAAACCCGGATCCAACGGAAAGCAGTGGCACAGTTGTGATTGGGTCCTGTTTATCCCTGGAATGATGGGAATGATTATCCCATTTCTTCCAGCGTGGGATGCTCTGATGGATCCAAGCTGTCCCCTGGCAAATGATGCCATGTGCACAGCATCCAAATGTTTGGGAGTCTGGAATTCTGACATGGATTGGCTTCCCTTAGAGGAGCAAATCTAACAGCAGGGGCAGTTTGAATGCACGGATTTCAAGGTGGAGCCCACCAGGAATTTGCAGAGATTTCCCAGGCAGAGCTGTGGCCAAGCTCTTTTTCCTGATAAAGCTGCAACTCTGGAACCTGGAAATCACATAGGGACAGAGGAAATACTGGGAATCCAGAGGCAAAGCCCTATGTATCCCAGGGCAATTCCCTAACCATCACCTCTATTAAATAAAATCAAGGATGAGATCTGGGATCAGCAGTGTAAAATTCCTTGTGAGAGGCTTTTTTCCCCAATCTAGGGGTGGGATCAAGGAGTTGAGGGACATTTTCTGGGAGAGAGAATCTGCAGCAATTCAAGGTTAGGTCAGAAAATCCCACCTGATAATGGATAAAATCCAGTCTGGAAGGCAACAGGAAAAAGGGCAACAGAGAATGGTAATTTGGCAAGGAGCTGTGGGGGACAGGACACAGGGAATGGCTTCCCACTGCCACAGGGAAGGGTTAGATGGGATATTGGGTAGGAATTCCTGGCTGGGAGGGTAGGGAGGGACTGGGATGGAATTCCCAGAGCAGCTGTGGCTGCCCCTGGATCCCTGGAAGTGTCCAAGGCCTGGTTGGACCTTGGGGTTTGGAGCAGCCTTGGATAGTGGGAGGGGATTGGAACAGGACAAGCTTTAAGATCCCTTCCAACCCAAACCTGGTTGGAAATCCCAAATTCTGGGATTCCATGATGTTTGTGAGTGCTCCAGTGTGGATTTATCCCAGCTGAGCTCGTGCTCTGTACCTGAGATGAGCCTTTTCCTGCACTTATCCACGAGCTGCTGGCAGTACTGGATCTCTGCCTTCAGGTCCTGCAGCTCAGTAAAGCCAGCCCTGTGCTGCTCCTTCAGCTCCTTCAGCTTCAGGATGAGGGAAAACTCCTCCTCATCAATGATCACCTGTCCTTTCTCATCCATGTATTCTCCTGGAGAGGGAGAAAAGGAAGGGAAGGTTCTGGTGAGGGTGGAGAGCAGGGACAGGGCTCTGCAGATGTGACACCTGATAGAGGATCTGACTTGGCCCCCAGGGGAAAAACCACTGGGATTGTTTACATGGGATATTGGGAAGGAACTCCTGGCTGGGAGGGTGGGAAGGCACAGGGTGCCCAGAGCAGCTGTGGCTGCCCCTGGATCCCTGGCAGTGTCCAAGGCCGGGTTGGATTTGGTTTGGAGCAACCTGGGATAGTGGAAAATGTCCCTGCCCATGGCAGGGGTGAAATTGGATAATCCTTAACATCCCATCCAACCCAAACCATTCCATGGTTCTATGATCAACCAAAATTCCTGGAAGCCCGGAGCTCCATCCCTCTGTCCTGTGCTCCCTCCTCACCCTCCTGCCTCCTCTTCCTCTTCTGAGCCTCCAGAGCCTCCTTGATTGCCTCCATCTGCTGCTTGATTCGATTGATCCTCTGTACCACAGAGTGGCTTCTCTTCTTCCTGGAAATGAGGATTCTCTTGTTCTGCCTGAAGATCCGGTGGATCTCCCGTCCAGCCTCCTTCTTGAACAGCTCAAACGCCTCATGCTTGGATGGAGGGGATCTGAAACCAGATACAGACACAGGAGGTCACTCTGGCCTGCCCTGCACTGTGGAATCATGGAATGGTTCAGCTTGGAAAAGCCCTCCAAGACCTTGGGGTGCAGCCCTCCCCCAGCACTGCCAAGTCCAGCACTGACCATGTCCCCAAGTGCCACATCCATGTGGATGTTACATCCTCCAGGGATGGGCACTCCACCACTGCCCTGGGCAGCTGTGCCAGGGCTGGGTAGCCCTTTCCAGGAAGGAATTTTCCCAATTTCCAACTGAACCCCCCTGGCCCAGCCTGAGGCCGTTCCCTCTCCTCCTGTCCCTGTTCCCTGGGAGCAGATCCCAAATTCCCCCCGGCTGTCCCCTCCTGTCAGGGAGTTGTGCAGAGCCACAAGGTTCCCCCTGAGCCTCCTTTTCTCCAGGCTGAGCCCCTTTCCCAGCTCCCCCAGCCCTTTCCCAGCTCCCCCAGCCCCTTCCCAGCTCCATTCCCTTCCCTGGACATGCTCCAGCCCCTCCAGGTCTCTCCTGTCAGGAGGGGCTCAGAACTGGATGTTCCCATGCCAACCCAAACACCCACTGTCCTCCAGGCTACTCCCAGAAAGAAAGTTCTTCACACAGACACCATATTGCTCAGGAGATGCCTCAGAAATGAGAATTCCCTGGAAAGCTGGCCTTTCATGGGTTGAATTTTCACCAAAATAATGGATATTGTTCCTCCCTATTGTTAAATAAATGTCTTTTCTCTTCCCATGCTGCATTCCCGGCACAGATCAATCCCCTCTGCCAGCCAAACCCACTGCTCCAAGGGTTGGCCAGCTCCACAATTCTGCTGCCATGCCTTGGAAGTCCTGCCTGACTTCCAAGTCAGAATTCCAAGAGCCATTCCCAACTTTTCTGTGAAATGGCTTTGATGCCAGCGTGTCCCTGTGAACACGTTGGTTAGTCCAATATGAGCCACTCCAGGCAAAAAAAAAAAAGGAGAATGTCACAGTCCACAGATGCTGCTCTGTGCTGTTGATATTCCTGGAGAGCAGGATGGATTTGGGAGCAGAAGGCAGAAACAGAAAACCATGGAATGATTTGGATTGGAGGGCACCTTAAAGCTCATCCCATCCCAATGAAGGTACCCAGAAGCCTCCACATTCCTCACTCCAAACTCCAGCTCCTGCCTTCCCTGAGTGACCTCTTAAGGGCATTTTCCATCTCCTCCAGGGCTGTGTGATGCTGTTCCCGTGCCAAAACGCTGGCACAGGGCTGTAAACAACAGCCCCTGGGCAAAGTGCCACAGCTCCAGCTCCCAGAGCCAGCTCTGAGCTGCTGGAATTGCTCTGAGATGTGGCTCCTGCAGCTGCAGCTGCATCAGCCTGTCCTGCCAGCCCTGGGAATGCCAGAGGGACACAAATCCTCTATGGAGGGAATGGGAACACGGTGAGGAGCTCCAGGAGGGAATTCTGCAACAGCTTCACTGCTCTGCTGGAACCCAGAAACCACATCCTGGGCTGATTGCCAGTGTGGCCAGAAGGAAATGGAGGAGGCCAGAGGGAATTGTGCTCCTCTGCTCCCTCAGGTGAGACCCCACCTGCAGAGCTGCCCCAGCCCTGGATCCAACAGCTCAAGGACCTGGAGCTGCTGGAGAGTCCAGAGGAGGCCCCAGAGCTGCTCCAGGGCTGGAGCCAGGCTGGGAGAGCTGGGAATGTTCCCCTGGAGAGGAGAAGGCTCCAGGGAGAGCTCAGAGCCCCTGGCAGGGCCTGAAGGGGCTCCAGGAGAGCTGGAGAGGGACTGGGGTCAAGGCATGGAGGGACAGGACACAGGGAATGGCTTCCACTGCCAGAGGGCAGGGATGGATGGGACATTGGGAAGGAATTCCTGGCTGGGATGGAATTCCCAGAGCAGCTGTGGCTGCCCCTGGATCCCTGGCAGTGTCCAAAGCCAGGTTGGACACTTGGAGCAATCTGGGACAGTGGAAGGTGTCCTTGCCCATGGCAGGGTGTGGAATGGGATGATCCCTAAGCTCCCTTCCAACCCAAGCCAACCTGAAATTCCATGATTTTATTCATCCATAACTATGGGGATTTCTGCATGTGAGGTTTCCCTGCAGTTTTCCCACTCACCAAAGGGTTGCTGCAGTTTTTAGAGATTAAAGAATTAAATTAAATAAAATGAAATTCAAATTAAAGAAATTAAATTAATTGGAGTTTTTAAAAAATTCAAGAGCAATTGTCCAGACCAGAGCTGGAAGCACAGAGATGACCCCACCACCCTCATCTGGAGATCAGGGTGTTCCCACCACCACTCCTGCCCTGAATTCCCTGAAGATCTCCAAATCTCTCCCCTCTGCCTTGGAGTTGTACTCAGGGAACACAATCCAACCATTCCAGTGCAAAGCACCCTCTGGAAAAGGGGATTTACTCCCTCACAGGGAAAACCTACCTGAGCTTCTGGAAATCCTCCCCTGAAGATGGGATTGAGATCTCTTCATCACTGTCCTGGTCACTTCCTTCCTCTTCCTCATCCAGAACCTTGCTGGGACTTTTGGGTGGTGAGGAATCATCCTGACTTGTCTCAAGAGCAGAGCTCCCCCTTCTTTCCTTCCTGAAAGTGGGGAAAGGATGAACCAAATTCATTAATTTCTTCACCAGAGGGATCTGGAACCAAAACATGCTGTGGGTTTGGCCTTGCTGAGTTAAAAACTGGTGATCTGAGGTACCAGATCAGAGGAAGGTGAATCCTCTACCAAAGTTTCCAGAGAAATATCCAATGACAAGGAATCAAATCAGCCTTGTTCCCACAAATCCTTAATTCTCAGGGTGGAGGAACTGCCCTGGATACTGTGGGATACAGGCCAGGCTGGATGAGGTCTCTTGAGAAGGATCACAAGGACAGCAGTCCCACCCTGTCCAGCTCTGGGCACACCTGGACAAAGACTAACCCTCCCCAAAAGGAATCTCCAAGGATTTGATCCAACCCCCCATTTAATCCAAGCCTGGCTCCCTGCTCCTTTCCCTCCACAAACCCCTCCAGCTTCCACTGCAGAGAATGGAATCATCATGGAATCATGGAATGGTTTTAGTTGGAAGGGACCTTAAAACCCATCCCATTCCACCTCTGCCATGGGCAGGGACACCTTTCACTATTCCAGGCTGCTCCAAACCAAATCCAGCCTGGCCTTGGGATTCCAGGGATCCAGGGGCAGCCACAGCTGCTCTGGGCACCCTGTGCCAGGGCCTGCCCACCCTCCCAGAGGATTTTTTCCTAAGGAATGCTGTGACCAGGAGAGTGTGATTTGGAACACAGACTTTGAGTGTTTGCTTCATCTCCTGGAGTCTCCTTAAAACCAGACAGCAGAGCCCAGAGGTCACATGGACACCAAAGCCTTGGTGGTTCCTCTGCTCCCTCAACGAGGACTTTGGGGAAATGTCAGGGAGGAACCAAGCAGGGATTTACTTCTGTAAACTGAAGGCTCTTCCTCTGCTCAGCACTGGCTGGTTCCCCCTTCCCTCCCCAAATCTCTTCTCCTTCTCTGCTCCTCTGGCAGCTCCCTCCATTCCTTCCTCCATGGGCTGCACATTCCTGCCTGACCAGAGCTGGGCACTGCCGAGTGCTGGGTCCTGCACTTGGGGCACCACAAGGATTGGGGACAACAGCTGGGAAGCTGGGAAAGGCCCTGAGGGGGGAACAGGGACAGGACAAGGGGGAACAGCCCCAAGCTGTGCCAGGAGAGGTTCAGGTCGGATATTGGGAAAATCCCTTCTCCAAAAATCCTGTCTAGCCCTGGCCCAGCTGCTCAGAGCAGGGGTGGAGTCCCCATTGCTGGGGGGATTTAAAAGCCCTGTGGATGTGGCACTTGGAGAAGTGGTCAGGGGAGGCTTTGGCAATGCTGGGGGATGGTTGGAATTGATCTTGGAAGGCTTTTTCAATCTTGACAATTCCATGATTCCACGATTATCAGAGGCAAAGGAGGGGTGTGTGACTGTTTAACTCACTCATTGTCCTTCTTGGCTTCCTTCTCCCCAGCAGGAATGGGGGATGTAGGATGACTTCCATCCTCAAGAGTCTCTTCATTCTCTTCCTGCTCCAAATCCTCATCCTTATCAACTGTACTTTCCTGGAAACAGGAAGGAATAACCCATTTGTGCACCCCATGGAAGCTGTACAGGCCTCCCCCAGCAGCTCCTCCATCCCCTGCTGCAGCCTCATCTGTGAGAGCCCACAGGAGGATTTATGGATTAAGTGGGATTTGTACACTTGGCTCCAGAAATTATAAGGATTAAAAAAGGGATCTCAGCAGAGGCAGGACCTCATCTTCTCCAACCCAGTGACAGACAGGTCGCTTTGGAGACTGCATTGTACAGGACAAGGGGAGGGGACTTTAAACTGAAAAGAGCACGGTTTAAAGGGGATATTGGGAAGGAACTCCTGGCTGGGAGGGTGGGGAGGCCCAGAGCAGCTGTGGCTGCTGCATCCCTAAAAAGTGTCCAAGGCCAAGTTGGATTTGATTTGGAGCAACCTGGAACAGTGGGAGGTGTCCCTGCTCATGGATTGGGATGATGTTTAATGTTCCTTCCAACCCAAACCTTTTTGGATTCTATTCCCATATCATAAATTATTCTGTGCAGATAAAGGGCCCAATTAATTCCTCTTTGTTAATGGTGCATCTCTGCTCTGGACACATTTTTTTGACAAACTCACCCCACTGCCATTTCTGAGTTTGATTTGAACAAGGAATAATATCTGCTCTATACAATTCCCATTTTGGCAGCAAAGGAGCCAGCTCCAAGGTGGATTGTGGGCCAGGTCAAGCACCAGGCATTAATTACCATGTCCTCCTCCTCCTCCTCCTGAGCCTCATCCAAGTACAGATCAGAACTAGAGCTGGACTCAGACTCAGCTGCTGTGTCTCTCTGTCCCAGCCCATACTTGTTCCAGAGCCTGGACTCCACTTCTTCCTCCTGTTGGCTAAGGAAAAACCAGCCCTTTAGGAATCCTTTCCCACCTGTGATCCCTGCCAAATTCCCAAAGAAAAACCCCTTTTACCTGTGGTTTTATCCCTCAACACCCCTCCCATGCTCCCCATCATAACCTTTGTCCACTTTCTCTCTCCTTTTCCAGGATGTTCCTTTAGGGCTCTTTAATATTAAAGCTTTTTGATGGTTATTTTAATATTTTCCAGGACTTTTTAATGGTCCACATCAAACCATACTAACTCTGCTTGTTTGAAGCTTTAATCCATGTTGGAGGGGGCTTGGAGCAGCCTGGGATAGTGGGAGGTGTCCCTGCCCATGGAATGGGATGAGCCTTAAGGTTCTTCCCAACCCAAATCAGTCTGGAATCTCTGAACTTACCTTACAATCACTTTGAACTGTCTAAACACCTCCTGGATCTGCCTAACATTCACAATCTGAGGGAGAGAGGTACAAAAGCATAGATTTTGGTAATAATGATATAAATGAGTTCCAAATAAATCAGTTTAAATGGTTTTAAGATTAAGGAAAAGTCTCCTGGAGCCTCCAAACCAGCAAAAATGGAATAAAAATATGCAACAGACTTAATATGCAGAAAGAAATTAAATTATAGTTCTGTAGTGGGTTTGGGGTGAAAACAGCCTCTTCAAAATCAATTTTCAATGCTCCTCTCTTGGAGGAAAAGGGGATGGAATCAGGAATCAGGAATTAAATGCTTTTTTTCACTACATACACTGATTTCTTCAATGACTCCTCTGAGGTAATTCTGGACTTGGGATCTGATTTCTGCCCTCTGGGCTGTAGTCAGGGGGTTGTAACTCGTGAAGGAACGATTTGCCTAAAAAAAAAGATGGAAAACTGAGAATCAGGGAGTTACAAAGAGCTGAGGGAGCCTGTGAGAATGACAGGGACAAAGCTTTGGGCAGTTCCTGTCTTGGAGGGACAAGGAATGGTGGTTTTAAAATAAAAAAAGGGAGATTCAGGCTGGATTTAAGGAAGGAATTCTTGGCTGTGAGGGTGGCACAGGGTGACCAGAGCAGCTGTGGCTGCCCTGGATCCCTGGGTGTGTCCAAGGCCAGGTTGGACATTGGGACACTGGGAGGTGTCCCTGCCATGGCAGGGGTGGAATGGGATGGGCTTTAAGGTCCCTTCCAACCCAAACCATTCTGGAATTCTGTGATTCCACTGGTGTAGCAAACACCTGGAATTTCTGTGACCATTTCTGCCTGGGATTTTCATCACCTGACTTGGCAGATGAGATGTGGGAGCAACCAACCAACTAAAGAGCTTCAAGAGTCTGGAAAAAAACCCCAAACCCAAATCTCCAGTGGCTGGGGATTGAAATTCCAACACAATCCCTCTGTGTGGGATCTTCAGAGGTTTCCCTAAGCCCCAGAGGATGGTGCTGGGAGCAGAGGGAGGGACATAACCCCACTGGACTCTGAATTCTCTGCTCCTCACCAAGCAGTCGTGCAAGATCAGCTCTTTCTTCAGGAGATGGATCTCCTCCTCCAGAGCCTTCACTGATGCCTAACAGGGGAAAAAAAGGGTGAGCAAATGACTAAATTTATATTGGGGAAACAAAAACCTGCTAATGGCTGCTGGAGAATATCCCAGCTGGATCCCAGCTCCCTCAGGGCTTGCAGCAGGGAATCAGTGGGGCTGGAAATCAGTTTGATTTTGCTTTGATTAGCTCCCTACAGGAATGTTTCTGCTGGGTCCTGCCTGCAGAGCCTGCCTGAGCCATCAAAGAAGGGCCACTGCTTTTTAATGGGATGATTTCCTGGTCTGGAATTGCAAGGACAGTCAAATTCCAGGCTCTGGGATATCATCCTGGAAGCCAAGCATTGTGCAGGGCTCACCTCTGCCCTGAACTCAGCAGCTCTGACAGTAACTGGGACAAAGGAGAGATTTTCCTGTGCTGGATTTGACTGAATTTCTCCATAACATGGAATATCTTCAAGGATTCATTATTTAAAATGTGTTTCCAGGAAGCTGAGCACAAAAATCTTGGGATTCAGGGAGAAGTGGACACTGAGCTGCTTTGAAGTGACCTCTGGAGCACAAAAGCACAAAGTTTCCTTCCAATTTCAGCTCTTCCTGTTTGATTTTCACTCTGAAAGTGCACTCTAAGATCCTGTGATCCCTTCCTTTAAATGATTTCCTTAATTAATCAAGTTTTCTAATTGTGGAGAAGCTGTTCTGTTACCAGCAGCAACAGGGATAAAGCTGCAGGAGGACTGGAGATGATTTTCCTGCATGTCAGAAAAATAATCCACCATGAAATCTCTCTGTTGAGAGCTGTATCTCATCAGAAAACTGTGGGATATGCACGAGAAAGAATTCCCAGGAAGATGTGACCACCTGCATGGTTGTGCTTTAGACCATGGAATTGTAATTAAAAACCTATAAAATTGATCCATTTTATCACCCACCTAAAATCAGCAATGTCAGCTTGGCTGAGGAAGGGTCATTTATGAAACCACCTCATTTTCCTCTGGTTTTTCAGGTTATGATCCTAAATATTAATGATAATATAATAATATTGCCCTTCCTCCAGGCCCCTCCTGTCCCTACCTCTCTGTAAAAGGGTTTGTTGGGGACAGGCTCTGCTGTCACCCAGTTCATCCTGGTGGCAAAGCGAAGGGAGGACAGCTGGAAAACAAAGGTTTAAAGTAAATAAGAGAGATATTGGCAGAAATATCATTTTCCTCATCTTTCTACTTAATTCTATCAAATTGCAGAGGAATATAAAATATGTGGATTGTTCCAGGTGATTCCTTCCTGTTTGCTACAGATCCAGCTCACACAGAGGGATTTTCACCCATTTTATCATTTACAGGTTAAAAAAAAAACATCTGGGAGGTTCCTCCTGATTCCTGCCCCAGCAGGGAGCCAGCTCAGCTCTGCTGTGAACTGGGGCAATTCCAGGGAGTTCATGAGGTGATGTCCCATGGAAACACATTAAAATATGACAATGATGATAATAATAATAATGATAATGATGATGATGATGATGATGATGATGATAATAATAATAATAATAATAATAATAATAATAATAATAATAATAATAATAATAATAATAATAATCTCTCCAGTGAACTTCAATCTGAGCAGATCCTGCCCACTCTGCTCCAGGCTCTCATCTGACAGGAGTCTGGTTTTGAGCCTTTGGAACAAGATGAGCTCTCTAAAGTTTGGGATGAATTAGGAAGGAGGTTTCCCTGTTAAAACCCTCCAGAGACTGTTCCTTAAACCAAGCTTAAAACAAGGCCTGGATTCTGCAGGAATTCCTCCAACTCACAGTCTCTTCCACATGCTCAGCTTCCCCATAGATGTTTGTCACCAGGACAGTGTTGCAGTTTCCCCCTAGGAAAAAAAAAAAGATAATAAAAATTAAGCAAAAAATAAAATTTGAGGTAATTTTTTTTTGTTGCTTCCTTTTCTGCAGTGTATTTTATTATGTCCTGATTAAAACAGAGGAGAGGAATCCCAGAATGTTTGGGGTGGAAGGGACTTTAGTGATCATCCAGTGCCACCCCTGCCATAGGCAGGGACACCTCCCACTGTCCCAGGGTGCCCCAAGCCCTGTCCAGCTTTCCAGGGAACACCCACAGCTTATCTGAAAATTCCAGCCCAGTCTCTCCCCACCCTTCCAGCCAGGAATTCCTTCCCAATATCCCACCTAAGGCTTCTTTCAATTTAAAGAAGCACAAAGGACACAGCAGAGTGTAACTGTCCCTCCAAAGGACACAGAAAAAGAGGCAGAGTGACTAAAAAAGTCAAAATTGTGTCTCATGGAATGAGGATGCAGGAAGAGAATGGGAATAAAAACTCTGAGTTCCAGCTGTTTGTAAAGATTCTGTTTTTCAGGATGCCCAGAGCAGCTGTGGCTGCCCCTGGATCCCTGGAAGTGTCCAAGGCCAGGTTGGACAAGTGGAGCACCCTGGGATGGTGGAAGGTGTCCCTGCCCATGGGAGGGGTGGCACTGGATGATCCTTAACCTCCCTTCCAACCCAAACCATTCCAGGATTCCTGGATAAATTACACCCTTAGGACTTGCTGTGCCCACTGAAACATCAGTTTTGCAGGAGCTGCTGGAGTTCCAGCTCTTACCCAGAGAGTCTTTGAGGACGTGGGTGAGTTTGCTCTGCCTGAAGGGGATGTGCTCCCTCTTGGGATCAGCCAGGGCGATGACCAGCTGCTCCAGGAACGTCAGGGATTTGTTGATGTAGGAGGCCTCGATCCGGACCTGGCCCTCAGACTGCAATGGAGAGCAGCAGGAAACAGTTGTGGTCAGACAGCAGGAGAGGGAATGTTCCTTAGCAAGGGAAAACTCTGCAGGGCTGATGTGGTTTGGATTCTGATCAGTGCAGGATGACACAGACCCAGTGACAAGATCCACACTGACCATGTCCCCAAGTGCCACATCCAAAGGGCTTCTAAATCCTTTCAGGAATGGGCACTCCACCACTGCCCTGGGCAGCTGGGCCAGGGTTGGGCAGCCCTTTCCAGGAAGGAATTTTCCCAATATCCAACCTGAAGCTGTTCCCTCCTGTCCCTGTTCCCTGGGATAAGATCCCAAATCCCACCTGGCTGTCCCTCCTGCCAGGGAGTTGTGCAGAGCCAGAAGTTCCCCCTGAGCCCCTTTCCAGCTCCCTCAGCCCCTCCTGGTGCTCCAGCCCCTTCCCAGCTCCATTCCCTTCCCTGTTTTTCCAAAGGGATCCAAGGGAACCTGAGGAGTTCTCATCACTCACCCCAGTCTTGCTCAGCCTTTCAGATCCTGCCAGGTCAATTAAGGTGATTTTAGATTTAAGGCATTTGTGATTTGTGTAATCTCTGGAACGACACTGAGGCAGAGAGGAAGAGAAACTGCACTTAGGAGCAGACAGAACTGAAATACAGGAAAAAACAGACTGCAAAAATCCTCTTGGATCCCTAGAAAGTCATTCCAATCCATAGGAACAAGGCTGGAGCTCTCACCTCAATGTACATGGTGAAGATGCAGTGGGATCTGGAGGAATTCTTATTCAGGGAGTGCTCTCCTATCACTCTGTTGGTCTCACCCTGCCAATGGAGGGAAAATTCCAGGCTCAGCTCATGGAATTGTGGCTTTTTGAGGATAAGCCAGACAACCTCTCTGTGGCTCTTTCCATTTCCTGATGGCTGGAAAAGCAAAGAGCTCCCCAGGCTTCAAATGGCACTGAAAATTCCCAGAGGTGTGATGGCCACGGATCTGAACCTCGGCCAGGAACACAAAGAGATGTTGGAAGGGGCCTTAAAGTCCATCCCATCCATCCCTGGGACACCTTCCACTACCCCAGGCTGCTCCAACCTGGCCTTGGACACTTCCAGGGATCCAGGGGCAGCCACAGCTGCCCTGGGAATTCCATCCCAGCCAGGAATCCCTTCCCAATATCCCATCCATGCCTGTGTGCTGTCCCTCCATGCCTTGTCCCCAGTCCCTCTCCAGCTCTCCTGGAGCCCCTTCAGGCCCTGCCAGGGGCTCTGAGCTCTCCCTGGAGCCTTCTCCTCTCCAGGGGAACATTCCCAGCTCTCCCAGCCATCATTACCCTCCTTCTACTCTTTAAAAAGGAAGAGGCAGTTCCTGCACATTCCAGAGCTGGGTTATTAAAAAGGCCAGGGAAAGATTTTAAGGACATCATTTGGCTCTGGGTGAGGATCCACTTCCTGCAGCCACATCCAATTATTTATCCCTGTTTTCCTCAGGAACTGAAGCAGCCATGAGGAACAGGAAGATGCTGATCTCAATAATCAAAGTTCCCTCACAAACCTCTCACCCTGACCAGCCCTGCTGTCCATTCCAACAGTGCCACAATCATCCCAAACCATCTTTTCTTGGAGCATCTTCCAGAATCCCTGAACCAGGGACATTTGCCAAGAGTTTCCAGTTTTTCTGCCCACAACCAACAGGGATGGCTGAACCTCATTCCACCATCTCAGCCACCCACTCCTGCTTTTCCACCTCCTCCTCCAGCCAGCACCCACAACCACGGGATTAAAGGGAATATTTGGGTTCTCTTGCCTCAAAAAGGAGATGCAGAGCCTCCTCCTCGTGGCTCACAGGGTGGATGGAGAGCCCCTTGACATAAACCCCCTGGGGACCATCCATGACAGCCAGCTGGTTGTCCTTGCACCCCCGGCCCATGGCCGGTGCCAGGAGGTCAAACAAGGTCTCGTTGTAGATCTCCAGGTAGGAAATTCGGACAGTGACCAGGATATTGAGGAATTCTGCAGCTAATTTGAAGATCTGCACCAAGACAAAGGGTTTGTGTCCGTTCACAGGCTGGATTTTCAGTTAATTGTGGCTTTTTAGAGAAGATATTTATGTTGATACGAGATATAAATGGGTGTGATGTAAGTAGATGTAAGATATCAACAGGTATAAAATATAAATACAGATAAAATATAAATAAATACATTGAGGTGCATACAAAACATAACATTCTGTAATATAAAGATAAGTATTTATAGAGAGATAGTTCTGAACAGCTCCAAGTGTATCTAGGGGTGTGGGGGGCTAAATCTGAGCTCTGAAGGCTCAGCTTGGATTTGGATAAATGATCTTACAGAATCATGGAATTCTGGAATGGTTTGGGTTGGAAGGGACCTTAAACCTCACCCAATTCCACCCCCTGCCATGGGCAGGGACACCTTCCACTGTCCCAGGCTGCTCCAAGCCCTGTCCAGCCTGGTCTTGGACACTTCCAGGGATCCAAGGGCAGCCACAGCTTCTCTGGGCACCCTGTGCCAGTGTCTCTGTGCCTCAGAGGAGTTTTTAAATGATTTTATGATTATTGTTAACCTGATTTCCCAAAATGACAGTTTGGAAAACACCTCTTTTGAAGGCTCAATGACATTTGGGTAGCAGCAAGAATTTCAACAGGAACTAAAGAGGAACAACCTCTGAGAACAACAATAAAACTCCTTTAATCTTTAACCATCATCCCTGGGGTGAAATGAAGGGAAAAACCTCACATAAAAATGATTCACTGTGTTTAAACACTTTTCTATCAGCAAGAGCTGATGATAGAAGAGTGTTCTTTGTGCTCCTCCCTCCTCTTTTCCCAGGCAGCTGCAGTACCTGCTGGATAGCTCTGGGGATGATCCCTCGGTTTCTGTACTCAGAGGCTGCTCCCGTCATGGTGTAGGTTTTGCCAGCCCCAGTTTGCCCATAGCACATGATGGTGCCTAAAAAACAAAACAAAACAAAAAAAATCCAAAAAACAAAAGGAGAAACTCGGGAGGGAGCCTCCAACAGAGGAACAAACGGCTCTCTGCTCAAATCCAATCTGTTGTTAAGATCAAAAGAATAATAATTGCAGTAAATCACCGTTGTAGCCCTGCAAAGCTTTGGACACCAAGTCCTTTGCCACGGTCTCATAAACCATTTCCTGGGAAGTGTTGTGGAGGAGCCCATCCAGCTTGAAGGACCAGTCAGTCTGAGAGTTATTCACAACTCCTCCCCTGGGACTCTTTCGGATGTAGATATCGATGCTCTGCAACCCAAAAAGAGAGGGAGATCAACTCAGCAGCCCTGAGGGTTTTCAGCAATTGAGGAGCTGGGATTAAGTAGAAAAGGGAGCACAGAGTTATTTTACTGACTTGGATGGTTCTAGATGTGCTAAAAATATCTGGTAATGCTCTCAAATTCCTGGTGATAAATATTATAAATAAAAGGAAATGTGGTTAAGCTCGTCTGTTTAACTTTCAGTAATTTTGTGCCTCAGGGAAATTCTTAATTAAGGAAGAGAAGGCAAAGGGAGGAATTTGCATAAGAGGGGATGGAAATAGACTGTGCCAAATTGTGGTTAGCACTGGGAATTCCTCATGGATCAGCCAGTCCCAGTCCTTTGGAGGATTTTCCTGGTGATTACACCACAGGAATTATATTTTCCATTCTCACACTTGCTGTGACAAAACCACTGCCAAGCAGGAGCACACAAACCAACACCCCCCAAACCCTTATCCATGGCCTCAAGGGGTGGAAAAAATCCTGGCTTTCCATTGGAAAAGCTGAAGTCCAACTCCAAACCTTTCCCACTTCCAGTTTCTTTTACTCTACCTTGTTGTCTGACCCAAGCTTGATCATATCTTGGGCAAAATGAGCAGTTGGCTTGATCCTCACGAACGCCAGGACTCGCTTCGGTGTTCTGAGAGGCAAAAACGAGGGAAAGAAGAATCTTGCATTCCCTAAACTGAAATTTATATTATTTGTCAGCAAAAGGTGAGGCAGAGGAGTGAAAAATTCAAAATAAAGTGTTGGCAATTATCCAGTAGTAGCTTTTATTCCCCATTAAAAGCAATTGAGGGCAAAGAGTTGCTGAAAATTCTGCCCTGCTTGGAAAAGTGAGGATGTGAAATGAGAAGGGTCAAAGTGATCCTGATTTCCTGATTTCCTCGTGTGTACCAGGCTCAGGAGTGTTGGATAACACCAGTTTTCCTCCTCTCAGCCTTGGAAAGCAAAATGTTTGCAGGAATGGGAGAGGGATTTTTTTTTGTCACATTTTAGAAAAAAATGAAATTCCCAATGAACAGCTGATTTTCAATTTCCTGGTGGAAATATCTGGAGGAGCTGCTGAGTAAAATCCACACAAAGAGGGTTCAGGGAACATCCAACTGCTAAAGCCACATGCACTGAGGATTTTAAAATCCCTGGAAATGTAAAGATCCCAAGTTTTCCCTCAAACACTTCCTCCTTATTGAGCCTGTGCTCAATAACTGTGTGATAAGTAGTGCCAACTTCTAGTTTGGGACAAAATCTTTGGGATTTCTGGTACATTCAGGATTTTTGTGACCTCACACACTTTACCTGCTGTAAAATGAATTGTGGAGGCTTGAGCTGAGCCAGGACCCATTGGATTTCAACCAGGGGGAACATTTGGGGGATACCTGGGGCTGTGACCCTCGGGTTCTGCATCAGAGAGCAGTGAGGAAATGATGCTCTCATGGTCCTCATCCTGCTCCTTCTCCTGCTCCTGCTCCTGTTCGGGCTCCTGCTCTTGCTCTTGTTCCTTTTCCTGTTCCTGGTCCTGGGTTTTCGCAGAGGTCACAGAACTCTGTCCCAAAAAAAAAAAAAAAACAGTGTTGGAGCAGTTGGGAATTATGTCTTCAAAGCAAGAAAAACAGCAGGGAAAGAAGGAAGGGGAAATGTTTTGGGAAAAAACTCTACTAGAAATCAGAGAGAGAACAAATTCTAAATAAGTGGCATTTTCCTTGCTGCAACAATGCTCTTTGTGGGGCTTTGGAAGGTGAGGACAAAAGCAATTATTGCTGGGAATGGTTATTAACATGAGGAGCTGGAAAGGAATTCCCAGAGCAGCTGTGGCTGCCCCTGGGTCCCTGGCAGTGCCCAAGGCCAGGCTGGACATTGGGGCTTGGGGCAACCTGGAACAGTGGGAGGTGTCCCTGCCCATGGCAGGGGTGGGATTTAAAGTCCCTTCCCACCTAAACTATTCCAGGATTCTGACTGGGCCCAGCTGGAATTACCGTTTGTTCGCTCTCTGCTTTCGATGCAGAACTTTCACTCTTTTCCAGCCCCTCAGAGCTCTTCTGCTGCCCCTCCTCCTGCCAGAGAAAATCTCACATTAAAACCCCCCCTGGAGACACAGGGATATCTCCAAAGCCTTGGGAGTGGGAGGCTCCCCTTCTCACACTTCAGGGGAGCAGATTTTGGGAGCATTTTGGGAAAAATCCATCTGTAAGGGTTGAGATTTGTCCGGGGAAGCTGTGGCTGCCCATGGATCCCTCGAAGTGCCCAAGGCCAGGCTGGACACTGGAGCTTGGAGCAGCCTGGGATAATGGGAGGTGTCCCTGCCATGGCAGGAGGTGGGAATGGGATGATCCTTAAGGTCCTTCCCGTTTAAATCACCCCGTGTTTCTCTCCAGTGCACCTCCCGACGTGTGTGGGGGCTGATGCCCGGGGGAAGGGGGGCGATGCTTGGGGGGCTGCTGCCGCCTGTGAGGAGATCCGACCTCCGATCACCCCTTGAGAAGGGGAAGGCGACCCCCCGGGGACCCCTCCTGTCCCTGTCCCACCTGCGACCCCTCTGCAGTCGAGTCCGGGATGGCGTCCGGGGTCGCCATGGCAGCGTCCACTTCCGGGTTCTCTATGGCAACGGCAACTTCCGGGAGAGCCCGGAAGTGGCCCCGCATACGGCGGCCGGGCGGGGCCAGCGCGCGGCGGGGGCGAAGCAGGACGGCAGCGGGACGGGAGTGGTGGGGACGATGCTGGAAGCGGCGGCGGCGGCGGACCCGGAGCTGGATCCCGAGGATCTGGTGCATTTCTCGGTGGGAGACCTGCCCAGCCGCGGGTATGGAGTGATGGGCGAGATCCGGCGGCAGGGAAAGCTCTGCGATGTGACGCTCAAGGTGCGGCCCGACCTCCGGGGGCGGGTGGGGGCGAGGGTCTGAGCGGGGCTGAGAGACCTCGAGCGCTGAGGGACAGTGAGAGACCCCCCGGTCCCTGATGGGGATGAGGGACCCCGACCCTTCCGAGGGCTGAGCGGGGCTGAGACACCTCGAGCTGTGGCGGGCAGTGAGCGGGGACCCCGGTCCTTGAGGGGACATTGAGGGGGGACCTCGAGCCCTGAGGAGGTCACGGGTTTTGGGGTGGGTGCTGAAAGGGGATGCTGAGCGGACTTCGCCCAGTCCCCTTAAGAGGGAGCTGGGAGAGTCCCTGGTCCCTGAGAGGGGCTGAGGGTCCCCCAGAGCCTTTGAGAGGGGCTGAGGGTCCCCAGCCTCAGAAGGGGGAGATGAGGAATCTCCCCCCGCCATTCCTGAGGGACCCCAGCTTCTGGAGAGGGGCCTTGAGCAACCCGCAGACCCCTGAGGGGGGACCCCAGCCCTTAATGGTGGGGGCTGAGGGACCTCCCAGTCTCTTTTCCAGAGGGAAGGAGGCAGCTGGAGTTCCCTCAGATCCCTGTGGTGGGGGATAAAGGGAAGAGGAGCCGGAGCTGAGGTCCCTCCTTCCCCCCCTTCTGCTTTGGCAGCAGAGAGAGACAGAGCTGAGACTCCCCCAAACCCCCTTAGTGGGGTGTCAGGGGCTCTTGGGCCTTCCCTGCCCTGGGGGGGTCTCAGAGGGTCCGTGGATCCAGGTTTATGGAGCAAGCTCTGGATACCTTTCTCTAGGAAACCATTCCCTTATTCCTATAATTCACCCCTTCTTAGCATCAAATAAAAAATGAATCCACAAGCGAGGTGAATCCTCAGCATGGTGTCCCTGGCTCTGCAGGGAATGGCTGGGAGGGCTCGCAGAGTGTCCTGTGCCAGGCAGGAGCTGCTGGAATCCCTCGGGATTGCAGCCTCGGAGGAGTTGGTGGGGTGGGAGCCACACGCAGCTCTGAGTCACTGCAGAATTAACTCTGCAGTTTAATTAAACGGGAAGGTGCTCCCAGCCTACTCACCCTGAAACCTGCCAGGGGAAGGAGCTGGTGGGGGCTGGGCCTGCCACCGAGACGGGATGTGGGATGGGGAACATTCCATGGATACGGGGATGAGGCTTGGGATCCTCCTTGGAAATGGTTGCTCCTTCTGCAGGGTGATGTTGGTGACAGCCTGGGCTGGAACCTGGGAGAATTCTGTGGCAAGGCTGGTTTGGGATGCAGAGTGCAGTTTTTTTAGGATTAAACTGGATGTTGGTGTGGCAGGAGAAGATGACCAGATCCTGGCAGTCCCATGTTTCTGGGAGACAATAGGAGGAGGTCTGTGATCCCAGTCTTATCTTGGATAAATTCCTCACCATTGTTTCTAAAATTCCTGTGAATAATTATCCGTTTCTGTGGATTTTCCATAGCAAAGAGCTGTTTAAATCGTCTTTATCCCTACTGAGGTTTAAAAGATATTAGTGAAGATCAAAACCTTAGGATCATCCAGTGCCACCCCTTGGATGGGCAGGGACACCTTCCACTGTCCCGGGCTGCTCCAAGCCTCAATGTCCAACCTGGCCTTAGACACTTCCAGAGATCCAGGGGCAGCCACAGCTTCTCTGGGAATCTGTTCCACCCTCACAGGGAAGAATTCCTTCCCAAAATCCCAAAGACAGATCCCAGCAGCAGCTGCTATGTTATCAGTCCTCTGTCCATGTTGTTTCAAGCATTCCAGCTTTCCCTCCTACACCCACAGCTTGGAATTCCAAGCATTTCATTCATTTGATTCCTCTTTTTTTGAGTCATCCTGTGAAAATATCCCAACTTGTGCTACCTCTGTCTCTGGACATCCCTTTTTCCAGTGCCCACGTGTCCCGTGGTGATGGAATTAATGCAGCCAAGCCTTCCCTCCCCATTCCCAGGAACAGGCTGGCTGCTCCAGCTGCTGGAGCTTTAAGCAGGAATTTTTCTCAGCTTGGAGTTGGAGGTGGCTTTGGATCACTCAGGCACCCCAAACTCAGCCAGCACAAACTGTCTCTGCCCTGCTTTGGCTCAGGAACGTTTTCCTGCTGTAAATCCAGGGTGGGTTTCCAGCAGGGACAGAGTTTGGATGATTCTTACCCAGAAGGAAGGAAGGAACGTGTAAAGGTCATGGAGCTGCTCCAGGGCTGGAGCCCCTCTGCTCTGGAGCCAGGCTGGGAGAGCTGGGAATGTTCACCTGGAGAGGAGAAGGCTCCAGGGAGAGCTCAGAGCCCCTGGCAGGGCCTGAAGGGGCTCCAGGAGAGCTGGAGAGGGACTTGGGACAAGGCATGGAGGGACAGCACACAGGGAATGGCTTCCACTGCCAGAGGACAGGGATGGATGGGGTATTGGGAAGGGATTCCTGGCTGAGATGGAATTCCCAGAGCAGCTGTGGCTGCCCCTGGATCCCTGGCAGTGTCCCAGGCCAGGTTGGACATTGGGGCTTGGAGCAATCTGGGACAGTGGAAGGTGTCCCTGCCATGGCAGAAATGGAAGTGGATGATCCTTAAGATCCCTCCCAACCCAGAGCATTCCAGGATTCTCTGATAAAAGCTTTGAGAACCATTCCAAGTCCAACCCAGAGGAACCCCCAGATGGATCCTGATACTCCCACACCACTGCAGTGAATTTATTCCCCTTTTTCCCACTCCTGCTACTTTTTGCCTGTCTGACCTCTAAACCAAAAAGCTTCCAAACACCCCTTTGTCCCAGAAGTTGGATCTTAATGTGCCAAATAGTCTAGCTCATGGATTTGGAAAGTTCTTTTCTCTCCCTGTCTCTTTAACAGCTTCAGGTCAGGGCTGCTCCTGATGTTCCCTCACAGCTCCCTTTGGAGCCTTTCCGAAATGTTTAATTAAATATTCATTTGCTAGGAGCACACATGGATGGACTGGAGGGAGGAGGGGAGGGAGGAGACACACCTCAGTCTGTGGTTAGTCCTTTTCCTTTGGAAAAAAAAGTAGGAATTTTGCTTAGCAAAGCCAAATTTCTGCTTTTTTTTTTCTCTGAGAATCACTGGGCTGGGCATTGGTGTGGCCATAAAATAACCAACCAAACCCTTTTCCCCAGCTGATCCCATCCCAGTCGTGTTCTGCAAGGTGAAGCTGTGCTTTCCTCCTCATCCAGCACCGGTGGTGATGGAAAAGAGGATGGAGCTTCCCACAAGGGTAGGGAAACACCAGGCCTGGAATAATGATGGAGAGAGCAGAAATGAACCTCCCGAGCCTTTTTTTTCTTTCAGTTTGGTGGGGTTTGAGGCTTTGAACTCCAGCTGTGGACAAGCCAAGGGGCAGAATTCCTCTCTGAGAACATCTTCCCCTTCCTTTTAGTGGATTTCCTGTCTTCTTCCCTTTGCAGCTCACAACCAAACACTGCAAACACCCCAAGAATTCCAGCTCACAGACAAGCGCTGGCGTTTGGGGCTGTAATTCCCTGAGCTGCAGATCCTGATCTGATTTTTACCAGCACAAAAGAAGTTCCTCAGTGCTCATGTTCTTCCTGAGCATTGTTTCTGGAATTGTTTCATCCTTGCAGGATGAAAGCAGCCTGGGCAGCTTTGTTTTCTGGGATGTGCTGTCTGTGCTCCAGCCGAGGTCCGAGCGCTCTCCAGGGACACATCAGAGGCTGCTGGAATGCACCACTCCAGAAACCAGGGAAAACAGATCCATGCTATTCCTTCATTCCAAATGAAGAGGGAATTAATCCCTTCCTAGCTCCTGCTAGAGCTGGAGGAGAATGATCCAAGTGCCAGGCTGGCACCTCCAGAAATCCTGGCCAAACTGTGGCAAGAGGGAAGGTTTGTGCCTTTCCAAATCCTTGGAGAGCAGAGTTGACGTGAGCTCCTCTTGCTGCTGCAGCTCTGAGCTGCTCCAATGCCGTTTTTCCATGACTAACTCCAAGACTAATTAGAGAAGTCTCCTAAAATATAATCCAGGTCTGGCAAACTGAAATAATTCCCAGCTGTGGAGAGGGGACAATATTTGCTTTGTGTCCAATCCCAGTGGCACCGACAGGTCCTAGCCCTGGTGGCTTCTCTGCCATCCTGATCCCAGTTTTTCCAGAGCAGACTGTTAACTCCAAATCCCCCCAAACTGGAGCAGTTGCACCCCTGAGAGCTGATGCAGAGGTGGAGGAGCCTCTGGATAAGTGGAATTCCAGACAGCTCAGGCTGCCTGCTTGATTCCAGCAGGATCCTTGAAAACTCAGTGCCTGGCTGTGCTGCAGATGTTGGAGCATGTTTGGCAGATCCTCCAGGAAAACAGCCCTGGAAAGAGAGGGAATATTTGTTTTATGGGAGAGAGATTGGAAAAGCAGATGATCCATTGTGCACAGGAGAGCTGCAGGATGTGATTCCAACCTTGTCATCCAACAGACAGGAATTATTTGGGATTCTGCCTGGATGTGTTTTCTCCGAACTCTCAGCTGTTCCCTTGCAGAAAACATGAGGATTTTTAGTTCTAGGATAACACAGAATTTCCTTTTGCTGTCCCTTCAGGAGTGCTCAGGAGGACAGGGCTGGAGCTGATCCCCTTGGGATGCTCCCTGTCCATGTGAGAAATGGAGGCACTGGAATTCTGAAAAGCAGTTGGGTTTCTCTGAGCTGGCAGGGAATTCTCTGGGAATGTGACTTTGTTTTACATCCAGAGGGGATGTGTCCTCTGCCTCAAAGGAATTGGTCACCATTCTCATGGAATGCTGGAATGGTTTGGGCTGGAGGGACCTTCAGGATGATCCCTGATCCTGGGATAGGGACACCTCCCACCATTC